GTAGTTACGAAAAAGAAACAAATGGCGGACAATTTGAATCATATTTCCGACGACGAAGAGTCAGAATGGCTGGCAAATATAGATCCAAGTTCATTAGATGAATCGAACGAAGAAAAACAGCTTGACGACCAGAAAATTTCTTCATTTAATGAAGAAAATAGAAACAGCAACACAACAACGCGCCAATTCCGTTCCGCTTCGCATACTTCTGTCACGCACTCCCCGTAAATAAATATCCGCGAAATTCGCCCGCACTGAAATAACAGTTTGGCGTGTTGGATAATAAATAACTTATTAGACGTTTTGTTGTGTAGTATCGCTGAGTATTTTTACGAGTTGTGCCGTATTTTGACGAGCCCGTAGGGCGAGTCAAAATACAAATAACGAGTAAAAATACTCAGCGATACTACACAACAAAACGTCTAATAAGTTATTTATTATCCAACACGCCAAACTGTTATTTCAGTGCGGGCGAATTTCGCGGATATTTATTTACGGGGAGTGCGTGACAGAAGTATGCGAAGCGGAACGGAATTGGCGCGTTGTTGTGTTGCTGTTTCTATTTTCTTCATTAAATGAAGAAATTTTCTGGTCGTCAAGTTGTTTTTCTTCGTTCGATTCATCAAATGAACTTGGATCTATATTTGCCAGCCATACTGACTCTTCGTCGTCGGAAATATGATTCAAATTGTCCGCCACTTTTGTTTTTTTTTTTTCGTAACTACAATCCAATTCTTCGCTTGCGCGATGCGAGAAAACCTGTTTAACCGGTGCTACAGTAGACCAGTACAAATACCGCGTAATATTTGTACTCGTCTATGGCGTTATTTGTACTCCTCTAGTTGTAGTTGGATAGTAAAACTAAAAACTGGTCTCTTTATCGTGAATAACACGCCTTCTCATTAATTGATCATTTTTTAATTTGAATCTGATCGTTTTGATGAAACAGGGTCCGGCACTCTACGCGTATAATAACGCTCAGTTTTCAAAAGATGACTGGAGGGGCATACGGATGTTGTGTGATAGTATAAAAGTCAAAGACCCGATGAAAGTTGGCCGTTTTGGTCTTGGCTTTAAGTCTGTTTTTCATATGACAGGTGGGTCTCTTGCCATGTTCTCAGACCTTAACATGAATGTGTCTGATGTGTTTTCATTGTTCTAACAGTTTGATAAAAAAATTTACCGGAACCTTTTTCAAGGGTGATTGACGACTTTTGAGCGTGTTGAAAGAAAACTTCTTTTATGTTCCAGATGATTGAAATTTGTGCTGGGACTTGTTACTGAATTTTTAGTCCTTGCAACTGAAAAGAGACAAGCAATAACTGTTGAAATTTTGTAATTTTCTTCACTTTTAGAGTTACATGTAGGGGAACTATATGGAAGAATATTCGGAGATAAATACTCTCAACGAGTCCTGTAAAAGACTTTGAATTTCGACTATTTCCTCATTATTTCAGTATTTATTTACGTATTTTATGCTTATTTTATGTGATCCCCTGGCTAGAGAGTCCTCCCTGACGTTTTGACCAAAAAATAACTAAAGTTAACAAAAGTTGCCAGTTTTTCATTATCATTTCCAATGATAGAAACTTAAATAGACAACACATTCCCAAGAGAAGCTTACCGGTGCACGACAGGGAGTAAATGTTTGGGGGCGCTTTAAATTGTGGGATTTGAATTTCCGGCGAGTGCTTTTTTTGCTGATTGATAGCAAGCCATGAAATTTGCTAAAGGGGACTCCGGAAAATATCCCTATTAAGAGTAACATCGTGGATGTGCTATCCTTGCATGTACAGATATAACCTTTTTGTAATTACTCGGGCTTCCGTAGGAAAGTCCGAGTCTGAAAATGCAAGCCGTTTTAGTCACCAAAAGAGGGGCCATGGTCTCAGGGGTTCCTTGCGTAAACCGCGGAAACTCGAGACGAGAGTGCGACAAGTTATGTTAACATTTGCTCGCTCTTCGTAAACATTTATAATTTAGAGAATGCTGTGTTTCGTCCAGACCGCTTTGCAAAGATTCCTGCCTTATACGCTCATCTCACATACAAACGCACACGCCGTTCGTGGTAGCCCCACACTAAATGATATCGAGCGTTTTCGGAATGGGCCGGTCCACAAACTCTATAGCTTGAAAGCTAGCCATATGTGCAAAGTTCATACTAGTTTTATTTATCTCTACAGTGCTTGCTTGGTGTTGCAAAAAGCATAAATTTTTCTCCGACATTGAAAAGATGTGTTCAGATATTTTTTATTGTTGAAATGCGACAAAGACAGGTAAAAACGAACGATATAATATCCCGACGTTTCGGCGACTTCATGACGCCATTATCAAGGGTACAAGTGAAAATAAAATTGAACGTGCAAACGGATTCTATCCGTGCTAAAGTATTTGTGTAGCTACCTACCCTATGCAAATTAGCTTTGATCTCGCCTTTGTTAATTTTATTTTCATTTGTACCCTTGATAATGGCGTCATGAAGTCGCCGAAACGTCGGGATATTATATCGTTCGTTATTACCTGTCTATGTATTACTAAATCTTTGCTAATACGAAGTGCTACAAAGTCATTTTAATTTGTTTGTTTTCAGATCTTCCAAGTATCGTAAGTGGTTCGCAGATCGGAGTGATTGATCCGCACGAAGAGTACTTCAGCGACGAAAATGGCAAAAGAACCGGGCACAGGTGGCGATTGAAAGAAGATCGAGACATTATAGACAGCATACCAGACCAGTTTCAGCCATATAAAGGGATACTCGATTGTACAGAGGACACCTTCAAACAGGGATCTTACAATGGAACACTGTTTCGTTTCCCTTTAAGAACCAAACCATCCAAGCTATCGCAGACGTTATACACCACCCAAAAGGTGCACACGTTATTTGAAAGTTTTGAAGCAGATGCTCATTTGATCCTTCTCTTTCTTCAGTATCTGGAATCCATAGAGCTTTTTGGTCGAGATGAAAAGGACAGTGACGCCAGAAAAAATTTTCAAGTCCGAATCACCGATGATACCCTTCAATTGGTGCGAGAAAAGAGAAGTGAGTTTCGAAGCAAGATCTCATTAGGTGAACTATTGCCAGAAGCTGTTAAAGTAACTTATCCAATCACAATCGAGGCAATTACTTTCTCTCAAGGCATACAAAGTGCGTCAGAGCGACATTCGTTTTTAGTTACCAACTACTTTTGCGGAGGAGAAATCTCGTCAGAATTTAAAGCCTTGGCTTTGGATCAAGATCTCAGCTATCTGCCTTTAGTAGGCGTCGCCATGGCGCTACCAGAACGCCCTAAGAATAAAACACCAAACATCAAAGGCCACGTGTTTTGTTTCTTACCACTACCAGTACAAAAGACGAGTTTGACAGGATTGCCAGTGCACGTCAATGGCTTCTTTGCCTTGAGTCAGAACAGGCGATACATCAAGACGCCTACAGCTGAACAGGAAGATCTGGATGAGAAGGAAGGCCAGCCCCTGACTGACAAGTCATTGTTATGGAACCAGTGTCTTCTGCAAGAGGCCATCCCTAACGCTTATGCGTCAATGCTGCTGGATGCCATGGACAAGCAGAAATACAATGTGCAAAGCGAAGCCGTGTACAAGTAAGAATTAATTGCTGACCTGTGTGCCCTTATGATATGCTTACCTCATTTTATTAAGACTAATGTTGCTAAGAGATAAAGAACATGAGTTGAAGAGTACAGTTAAATTTGATTGAGACATGCAATTGGTTTTCTCTTGGACTAATTGCGTCTCATCAGTAAAAGATCTGCTTTTCTTACGCTTAAATAATTCATGGATGTAATAGTCCTTCCTTAGCTTTAAACATTTTCCATAATCTATTTCTCCTTTGTATAGAGCATGGCCTGATTCAGCCAATGTCGACCAGAAATGGAAAAGAGTGGAGAAACCCCTTTTTGAGTTGCTTCTTGACAAGAGCATCATTTATACTCCGGCTCAAGGAGGAAAGTGGCTAAGGTTGCAAGACGTGATCGTAGAAAGACTAACAGAAAGCGATCCCAAGTTTCTTCTGGTGAACGTTTTCCTGGCAGCGAATGAAAACGTCGCTTGTTTACCCGAACACGCTTTAAAAGCCATTTGCTTGTACTCAACTTTGAATGCAGTGATAACACCCTCGTTGACGCGAAGAGTCCTCAAGAGTGCTCCCTTTAGCTACTCAAACATAACGCGGTTAGAAAAGCTCCAGCTGCTGAAATTTGTCCTTAAAGACGGTTGCGTTTCTGAGTTACTTGGATTGGAGCTGTTACCTACATCCAACGAGCTGTTCACGTCTTTTTCCAAAGCGAACGAGGCTGTTTACATTTCTTCACCAGCACATCCCCGTAAACTTTTACCGTGTTCACAACAAAAATTCTTAGATGAGAGCATCGACCAAGATTTGTCACGAAACCTGGATGTAGTCGCAAATGAAGGTATGCAAATTGGCAGCAGTTATAACAATGACGAAAGAAGTCATATGAAGAAGTAAGCTAGTTACATGCATCTGAGAAAGATATGATAATTAATCCCTTCAGTTTACAAGAACTAGGGCCTTGAATTGCATATTGCCAAATTCTTAAGGGTCACCTTATATTATCCCATTGAAAAATTGGAGATAATGGGGAATATTTGAGATACTTTTCTGCTATCATGTAACCAATCCCCCCTCAGAGCATGGTGTACGTGTAGTTTAGCGCGAAATAGCGAGAAGGTCGCTTGTATTGACCAAGCCACAGGTGTGATTTTATGAAAGCACAGTGCAAGTATAATACAAATCACCTCGAGCTATTTTGGGCAAAAAATTAAAAATGTTAGTGCTTTCGTGGAGCTTTTTTTTATCAATCACGTGGAAGACCACACTTATTTTACCTATTAGTTTTATGATTTTGTATGACTACCAGTATTTATGTGAAACTTTTTATCAAAATAACTCCCCACAGGCAGAATGTAAAAGTTTACTCTTATAGAGCAAACTAAGATTTGCTTAAGAGCCCCATTACTTTCCGTACAGGATGCACTCAATTACGACATTTCACTAAAGATGACGTTGCTGAACTTCTCCCGACGTCACTACCACCTGGTTGGTCAGATGGACAAAGCGTTTTGTGGTATCCTGGAGTCGGAAGCCATCCTTCCAAAGACTGGCTTGGAAATTTGTGGGCATACCTGGGAAAGAACTTCTCCTCAGTAGACGAACTTTGCATACTTCAAGGCTTGCCACTGCTTCCACTTGATATGTCGAAAGCTCCGATTACCCTCGTGAGACTTAATGTGCAATCTGATGTTGTCGTGAGAAGCCTTCATGGTGATTCTTTAAGCGACTCTATTGTAGGAGCTTTGCAAGAACTTGGTGTTACAGTAATGCAAGAGTATCCAGAGTTCCTTACTCGGCACCCTGCCGTTTTGGGAACGTTTGTTCACCCGCCATCAACTCTCAGCGTGTTGAAAGCCGTGACAGCTGTCCTTTCCTTAAAGCCTACTGCCATCCAAACCATATCAGACAATGGTAAACGATATTTCAGGAAGTTTTTAGCCAAAGCCTCTTCGCTCAGTCCAGACGTGATAAAAGCCTTGAGTTGTTTTCCGCTATTTGAGACTTTGTCCGGAGCATTTGTTTCTAAGAGTGATGGCCTTTGTGCTGCACCTGATGAAGCATTTCCAGTGAAGACCCTGAGGGACCTCATCGACGTCAGAGAGAATGACGCTAAGAGATTAGCAGGTTTGTTTAACATCAAAATCTTGACATGTTTTGAGGTTTTGCTTGAGGTGATATTTCCGGATGTGGTAGATCAGCGTTACTCTACAGAAGAAATAGACAGACTCATGGAATTCGTGATGGATCGATATCACGTTTACACCGCAAAGGACGCGAGTTTTCACCATCAGTTAAAAGACCTTCCCTTCGTCCCAACCAAAACTGATAGAGTAAGACCTAAGGAGGTATTTGATCCAAGAAAAGAATTCCTAAAAAGAATTTTTGTGGACGAAGATGTGTTTCCCGTTGGAAAGTACAATCACCCTACAATTCTGGTAATTTTAGAAGACCTTGGCATGAAAGGCGAAGACGAAGTCACCGGGCAGAATGTGTACGAAAGCGCAAAAGCAGTAAATAACATTGTTGACGTTTCTACAGCAGAATTTAAGTCATCAGCGATCATGTCATTCTTAACTAGCAATCCGACAAAACTTGAAGAGACCGTCTCTGGAACGAAAAGATTACGGAAGCTAGGGATGTATCTTAAAAGTATTCCATGGGTCTCTGTGATCAGGCAAAAACCCGATGGCTTTCCCGCAAGTCTTCCGTTCTGGGGAGAAACGCACACAGACCCTTATTTCCTTAAGCCTTCAGATGTCAAGTACAAACAAGGAGCAAACATCATTGGATCGGTAAAACCACTTGTCAAAGCTGATCCATTTAGCCAATTAACCCGTTTCTTTTCATGGAACGCAGATCCACCTGTTTTGGATGTCGTGCAGCACTTGCAGAATGTAATACGTTACTACAGCCCACAAGACAAGCCCCATTATATAGTTGTCGCCCAGGAAATGTACACCTTTTTCAGTCGTGCAGATCATAATGAAGTACTTGCTGCTTTGGAGAATGTCAAGAACCTCCCGTGGATTTGGAACGGAGACGGATTTTCGTTGCCTAGATAGCTGCTATCTCAGAAACCTCCGATTGATCTGTCACCATACATTTGTTCCCTTCCCTCGGAGGTGGCAGGATTCAACGGGCTGTTTGCAAACTTTGGCATACCAGAGAAGTGCGATGACGCATTCTTGTTGGAGGTTCTTCACCTAATAAAAGAGAAGTACGACAACAACCCTCCGCCTCCTATGGCAGAGGTACGAAAAGACCTGCAGTTCTCTGTGGACATTCTGAATGAAATTAAGCCAAGCGTTGGACAACAGTTGCCGCCAGAACTTCAGGAAAAGGTGCTCATTCCGACACACGTGGAGGACGATGCGTATGTTAAGCTTGCACCAGTTGAGAAATGCATGTACTGCGAGCATGAGTGGCTAGAAAGAAGTAACCATGATGGAGAAGACGATGAAGAGATGGATTACTTTTATGTACACCCAAACATTCCGAATAGCACAGCTGAACTTTTGCACGTTCCAACGTTAATGAATCGAATGTTGGAGCCAGACGAGCTGGATATTGGAGAGGAATTCGGACAAGAAGAAAAACTTACCTGTAGACTTAGGAGACTTTTGGAGGACTACACTGATGGTTTTGCAGTACCCAAAGAGCTTGTCCAAAACGCAGACGATGCAGGAGCCACCGAAGTGAGATTTCTGTATGACGAGCGAACGAACCAGGATGCCATGACCTGTCTGATTGACGAGGAAATGAAGCATTGTCAGGGTCCTGCTCTGTGGGTTTACAACGATGCCGAATTCAGAGACGAGGACTTTAAAAACATCACAAAAGTAAACGGTGCTACCAAAGAACAAGAAACTGAGAAAATTGGCAAGTTTGGACTAGGTTTTAATGCAATATACAATCTGACCGATGTTCCCATGTTTTTGAGCAGAAACTATTTTGTGATTTTCGACCCGAACACATTTTATCTCGGAAAGGCAATAAGAAACAAGAACAAACCTGGAATAAAGATAAATATCAACAAAAACACAAAGAGACTTCGGAATCTCGGCAATCAGTTTAAACCGTTCAATGGAATATTTGATTGCGATCTCCGCCTATGTAAAGACGACAATTCTTACCCTGGAACTCTATTTCGCTTTCCATTACGTACCAAAGAGCAAGCTATTAAAAGTGAAATCAAGAAACTTCATTACGACAACAAGCAAATGAAAGATCTCCTGAAGCTTTTCGCCTCTGGTGCTAAGACCCTTCTTCTCTTGACGCAAAATGTTCGTCGTGTCAGCATTTTTCACCTGCCGAAAGATTCGAACTCTTCTAGTTCACCTATGTTACTGTTTAAAGTAAACAAATCCCTTTATCGTGACGGAATCACAAGGAAACTTTCTGTGCCACTCGCACTTCCACCAGCTGCTAGGAAACTCAGTAGTGAGGAGCAGTACCTTTTGCAACAGTGTAACTTTTTACGCGCGTCCTCCGAACTCATGAAGCATTTCAAGGATTCCAGTTCAGTTTCACTCAGTTCGGGTCTCACAATCACCATCCAGAATACCTCTACCGAGGCAGGGATAGCATTTGTCGAAGGCAACGACCCTTCACGAGATCAATTGGAGATTTGGCACGTTGCCTCTTCCATGGGCAGAGGAGAAGCAATGCAGTTTGCAAAGATTGATAAGAGTCTACTCCCATCAGCGGGGGTAGCAGCCAAGTTGATCCCCGGCGAGGGTGGAAAGCTCTTGCCCGAGGCGGTTGGCCATCTGATCACAGAGAATGTGCAACAACCCAAGGGAAGATTGTTCTGCTACCTTCCACTTCCAATCGGTAGTGGCTTTCCGGTGCATGTTAATGGGGCATTTGCGGTAGCGTCTAACAGGCGAAGCTTGAAAGAGAAGACATTCGATGACAAAAGTTCTATGGCAGTCGAGTGGAACAATCATCTGATGCAAGATTCAATTTGTGAGGCATATGTAGACCTTCTCCAGGACGTAAAGAAGTTGGCTGCTGAACCGTACCATTATCACGCACTGTGGCCTAGAGCTTGTGCAGTAGAGCCGAATTGTGAGCCTGTTGCGCGTTCATTTTACCAGTGTTTGACACGTAGATACTATGATCTCTTTTCCTATGGTAGGCACTGGGTTGGCTTAAACCAAGTGGTCTTTCTTGTTCCAAATTTACGCCAAGATCCGATAATTGGGGAATTGTCCTTAGAAGTTTTAAAGAGACTGAGAAAAGAGAATGAGGTCATCATTGACCTTCCAGGTGAAGTCTTTCAGTCCTTTCTTGAGTATGATCTCGCCAAAGAAATTAAGGATAAATGCTACGACAATTCAAGGTTTTTCCGCGAGTTGTTCTTTCCAAACGTTGCTTCTATAGCACCAGAACTGAGGGAGAAGTTGGTATTGCATACACTTGATGACATAAATGGAGAGTTCGACAGCTTGATTAAGATGTATGCTTGCATTCCCGCCTCACCGGATGGCCAAACGCTCAAGTGTCCAGCCCAACTTATCCACCCCCAAAAGGGAGCTGCCTCGCTGTTTAGTCCTGACGATAAAAGATTTCCGTTTGGCACAAAGAAAACTTTTTTGAAGGACATACGACTTGCTAAGCTTGAACAACTCGGGATGTTGACAAACAGCCTTACATGGGACGAAGTTGTTGAGAGGGCAGAGAGCATTACCATTTTAAATGAGATCTCCAGTAAATCTGCAATGAAGCGCGCTAAAGCATTGATGGCTTATTTAAAAAGAAAATTGGCCTGTGAAAAGGCAACCTCTGTACCGTTTCATATTCGCAGCAAATTCAAGAGGGCCAGGTTTCTTCCCGTGCTTAGAAGACCGAAAAAATTTCCTCTTCCTTGGAAAGGAGATGAGCTACATGGTGCAAGGACATTCGTTTCACCTGAAGAGTCCTATCTTGAGAGTGAGAAGTATTTGGTTTGTTGCAGTGAACCGATAGTCAACATGTCTATTCCAGAAAGTGTGAAAACGTTCTTGGAGTTCGATAAAAGGCAAGCCACCATTGGTCATGCTCAAAGGCAACTTGAGTTTGCCACAACTTTGAACATGGACAGATTGGATTCCCAAGAACTTGATCGCATTGAAGAGCTGTGCTTAGAAGCTTACAGGTATTTTCAGCGATCACTCAACAACAAAGCAATCAAGGAGAAGGAAGTAAGAGAGATTTTTGAAGGAAAAAAGTTCATTTTCTGTGGAAAGAATTTTTTTTACCCGGAAAAAGTAGCTTTCAAGTTGGATGCTGATTGTTCTCCTTACTTACATCAGCTTCCGGATGACTTGGCAAGGTCATTTGAAAAGTTAATGAAAAGTGCAGGTGTGAAGGATGCTTTTGATGCCGAAGATTTCGGCACTTGCCTGATGCAACTAAAGGAAGCTTTTGGGGAAAAAAAACTTGATCAGAAGGCTCTTCAATTAGCAGTTAACCTGTCTCTTCAACTTGGAAACAGCTCCGAAAGTCCTCAAGAAGAGCTCTTTCTTCCTGATTCTCAAGGTGTATTGCGACCTGCTGATGACCTTTGTATGAGAGACTGCCCTTGGATGCCCGATGAGATTGACGTTTACTTCGTCAATGACATGATTCCCCATGTAGTAAGTACCAGACTGGGTGTCAAGACACGACGCGAAGAGGCATTAAAGCATTTCTCCAGTGGTATTCCTTTCGGACAAAGGGAAAAACTTACAAATCGTCTACAGCGAATTCTTTCAGCTTACCCATGCGAGAAAGAAATATTGAAAGAACTTCTCCAGAATGCTGACGATGCACAAGCTACTGAGATTTGCTTCATTAAAGACCCACGACATCACCCTGACAAAAGAGTATTTGGAGACTCCTGGAAACCCCTGCAGGGTCCTGCGTTATGCGTATATAACAACAAACCTTTCACTGAAGCCGACATCATAGGAATTCAAAATCTCGGGGAGGGCAGTAAAGGAGATGATCCAAACAAAACTGGTCAGTATGGAGTTGGTTTCAATGCTGTGTACCATCTGACTGACGTGCCGTCGTTTGCTTCTAGTGGTGAAGAAATTGGAGACGTTTTGTGCATATTTGATCCGCACCATAAGTACGTACCAGGTGCAACCAGTTTTGAACCAGGTAGGATGTACAGAGAAGTCCCGAAGTTGAGAAAAGTCTTTCCAGATGTTTTTGCTTGCTACAATGATAAGGAGTTTCCCTTACGAAATTCAACAATGTTTCGTTTTCCATTACGAACTCAAGAGATGGCATGTGATTCCAAGATATCGAAATCGCCAGTGACACTTCAAGCATTAGATGAAATGATTGATGCGCTTAAAAAAGAGCTTTTCGAAGTTATGCTTTTTGTCAACAACGTTACAAAGATCACTTTGTGTGAAATTGACCCGAAAACTAGGAAAACCATCAATCACTACTTTGTCGAAGCGGAAATGACTGACGAAGATGCAGCGAAAAGGAAAGAGTTTGCAACCCATGTCCGACAGATCGGGAAGTCAGCTAACCAAAGAGATAACATGTTTCCCAACAACATTGAAGAGAAGAAGTGTTCGTATGTTCTGAGCTTGCGAGACAGTAATGACAACCAGGAAAAGTGGCTTATCGTACAACAGATTGGCCTTGATAACAACGTACAAGCAAGTATTACAGATGCATACCAAAGGCGAGATCTGGGAATGCTACCAATAGGAGGAGTTGCTTGTCTTCTAGAAAAGAAACCAACAAACAACAAAGCACTAGAAAATAGAAAGAAAAGGGCTTACTGCTTTCTTCCACTTCCCTTAGAGACTAAGCTACCAGTCCACATTAATGGTCACTTTGCATTAGACCATGAGGCCAGACGAAATCTGTGGAGGGATGAAACTCGTGGTTATCGTAGTGACTGGAACAACGCTTTGCTGGAAGATGTGATTGCACCATGTTATCTGACACTTCTAGATGAGGTTAGAGAGTTTCTTCAATTGTCATCAGCGCCGGATACGGAACAATTTACCCTTCAGTGCACTAAAGAGGCTTTGTCCAGAAAGATCGACGAATACGAAAAGCTTTTTCCATTGGTAGTTTCGGGTGAAACATACTGGGCGACCTTGGGAAGAACCGTGTATCAGAAAATGAACAAGAGAAGATTGAGCCTTCTGCCGGTGGTGAGAAGTGATAGATCGAAGCATCGACTAACATGGCTCCCTCCAACAGGGGAGGGGAGAGAAACAGCGTTCTTTAATAACCTTGCAGAAAGTGGTTGTTTCTCTAATAACTCAAGAGGTTTTCCAGGTAAAAGTGACCCTGGAAAAGAAGAGAAACGAAGTCTTGAGACTAGAAAGAGATTCGAAGAAATATTACTGAAAACGGGCTTTAATCTTGTCAAGTTCTCGTTATCTTTGTGCGAAGCGTTCAAAAACTCGCGTGTAGATTGTTTTTGCGTATCACCTTCTGCAGTAGTAAGGTTCTACAAGACCTTCAGTGAAAACGAACCCATTTGTAAAATTGGACCGATCCCTATTAATGTTAAAAAGAGTCCATTTAAAAGTACTGACAACGTCTCACTCATGCTGAGATATTGCAAGGGGGATACAAATTTCCTTGAAAACCTACCAGGCCTCCCTTTACTTGTAACACAGGACAACCAGCTACATGCATTCAGTGACAGTGATCCTAGGTTTCTATCGTGTCACCACAGCATCCTACCGCAATGTAGAGAACTGTTTGTCCATGATCCTCTCAGGATACATATCTTTGGCGATGTAGAGATTCAAGAATCGTCGGTGTTAAAGCATTTTGGTGTTGAAGATTTTGCCACCAGCTTGCATCGATGCCTACCACCGAAGTTTTTCACCGAAGAAAGCTATGTCAGGTGGTGCCCGACGCAACAATCAGTGCCCAATAAGCACTGGGTGCTGGGAGTATGGAATTTCCTTAATGAAGAAATTAGTGACGTTTTAAGGAGAATGGAGGAAAGTGAAAAAGAGGAAGGCATTTCTACAATGCAAGAAGGGGAAGTCAAAAGGATTCAAAGGATACTTCTTCCTCTTTTTGAGTGCAGTATCCTTCCGTGTACCGAAACAATGACACCAATACATGGGAGCGTCGTTAGGAGACCAGAGCACTACTTAGTACCCTTGATACTTGCACAGTCTATCCTTGATTTTACGTGTTATGATGAGAATAGCAAACATCTTGTTGAAGCTTTGAGGCGGCTCAACTTAGCCGAAGTGAATTACACTGTATTGAGGCCAGATTCATGTTTTCTTGTACACAAGCTGGTAGCATCACTTAAAACATCAGAATGTCTTCTCAAATGCTTTACGCAGAAATTGAAGAAAAACCCCAACGCATTTCAAGACAAACTGAAGCTCTCAGAATGTCACACCATTTTGAAGTGCTTCAGCGACACCGTGAACAGACTGGAAGAACGTGACAAACCCACGCTAAGAAGGCTTCCTTTCTACAAAGCAGCCCACGGCGGACCAACAAGTGTGGACAGTGCAGCGGTTTGTGTCTTACCCATTGACGTTCCGCGGAAGGAGATGGACGCTCTTGGACGTCGAAGAAATGTGATTTTCCTGGAAGAATGTCGTCCACTGGCTCCTCTTTTTCAATTCCTTGAATTCCAGTGCATTTCCTCAGTTGAGGTCTATTGCACCTTCATTTTGCAAACCTTCGACATTTTCAGTAAAGAGGCAAGGCTTGCTCACTTGGATTACATCCGTTATTATATTCTTCCGAGCAGGTCAATTAATGAGAATGACAAGAGTAGGCTTCAGGATTGTTTAAAAAACACGGCGGTCATTACTTGCGAAGATGGAAGCTTGCGGAAGATATCTTCCTTCTACGATCCCCGTAATGAAGTCTTCAGCGTTCTGCTTGCAAAGGACATGTTCCCCCCAGATCCTTTCAACCAAAACGAATGGTTGTTGTTTTTAGAAGAGGTCGGGCTAACATGTGTGGTCTCAAGAGATCTGTTCACCATGTTTGCTAGAGAAGTCGCTATCGAAGGAGCTGTACGACGTTCAGAGAATGTTGATAAAAAGTCGAAAGTATTGGTAGAGAACCTTTTCACTCGACAGGATGTAGTAGCAGAAGGACTTCTACAGGCTGTGGGCGAAATTAGCTTTGTGGCCTCTGAACCTGTTGAGGAAAAGTTTCGCAAGCTCCATCAGCAGTTTGGTGAAGTAAGTGGTCAAACTCCCTACATTTCATTCAAAGGATCTGTATTTGCGCAGCATGCTGAAATAGTTTGGACGGCAGCGCCTCTGCTTCCACAATGGGCATGTCCTTGGAATTACCCGTGGCTGATGACATTTTCAGGTAGGAACAGTGGCGATGCTTACTGCAACAATATCTGTTCCTGCCTTCAGGTTCTGTCAGAGCCCACCCTTGATCTGGTTATTTCCCACTGCCAAAATGTATGCTTTAAGCTGGAAAAAGAAAATGACCGTGACGTGCTGGATGGGGAGAAATGCACCAGGCTCTCGGTACTGAGAGGCATATACACGTTCCTTCAAGAAAAAGCCGTCTCAAACACCATTTTAAAAATAAAACTGAAGGATACTCCTTGCGTTTTGGTGGAAGAGGGAGGCCGTTTTGTTCACTCGAAACAAGTAGTTCTGGAATTGTATAGCAAAGATGAGATTCGACCTTTTCTTTATGGAATGCCTGTAGAGTTAAGTGCGTTTAAAACGCTCTTCCAATCTCTGGGATGTTCACCATCTGTCAAACCGCCTCACTACGTCATGGTGCTAGAAATGCTACACAGGCAATCGATGGGAAACATGTTGGAACCTAATGAGGTTCGTTGCGCTTCAAAGGCAGTGAGAGGTCTTTTAGAAACGATTCAAGATACTCCATGGCCAATTGGAACAGATGGTATATCAAATCTGTACCTACCCTCCGCATGTCCTTTTAGGAGCAGTCTGGATGAAGAGGTACCACCCATCGTGTTGACGAGATCGACAGAATTAATTTTCGATGACGCTCCATATTACCATGATCGAATTCGGGAATGTGACTTTTCTTTTGTTGTTGACCTTAGAAAAGCAGGGGTATGCATCAAGTCCAATGCAAATTACAAAGACCTTATCAAGCTTCTTCCCGCTGCTGTCCAACCCCAGATGTTGTCCAAAGTAATCGAAGAGAAACTCGTGGAACATGATAATAATTCAGTTTTCGAATTTGGTGCTGCAGGCGCACTGAGGAAGCAATTAAATTCTGAGGAATTCTATCGTGGAATTGTCAGGCTCATTCGTCATGCCAATCAAGATGGAGGTCCTGATCCAGATGATGTTGCGACTGCAAGGAGCAGTCTGCAAAACATTGAATTCTTCGGAATGGGCCAGGTTGTTACTCACCTGGTTCGTAATGGACAGGTCATCCAAGGTAGTCAGCAAGAAGTTCCCTTTTACATGGAGGAAATTTCAGAATGCGGTCAAGAGAAGTGTAAAGTATACATTAATGCTGCCGAGGAAGTTGAAGCAGTCATGTCGGCAATATCATTGAAACTATCAAGGGTGATTGCACAAGCGTGCAGAGGACTGCTGGGAGATACCATTCTCTGCATTCCTGAGATGCTTCGTTGTCAACCAAATATGATAAGCTCAATTTTAGATAAGTCAAATATTCGCCCAGATGACTCCTATGATGCAGAAAAAGGAAATCTACTCCCTGAGCCAGGTAGCTTGATTCCTCTTAAGCTTCACAGCCTTCTGAATCCTGCATTCAAATCCTTTGATCCCGGGGAATATGTTGGGTACGAATTGGATGATCCAAGTCTTCAACTTCTGGAAGAAAATGCCACCTTCATCTACGCTTTGATTCTTGAAGAGGTGACGACCGATAGCCTCACCCTCCTAACTAAACGCTTCAAAATCAACATTGGGCACGAGAGGGAACCAGTAATTGTCCAGGCTTCAGAATTATACCAATTCCACCGTTTTCAAGAAATAGCATCCTCTACCATTGTCCAGTCTGACCAACAAGAGAGATCCCAGTCTACAATAGATAAAGGGCAAATATTGAACGTCATTTCAGATATGATTGAAGAAGCCTGGGGACTATCAGAGGATATGAAGAAACAGGTTTTCAAGCGCCTCATCCTACAGTGGCATCCGGACAAGAATCAAGGAAGCGAAGCGCTGTGTACGGAGGTTTTTCAGCACATTAAGAGTGAAATCGAAAGACTAGAAAAGGGAGAGTCTCGTAGACGCGATGGGTGCACCCCACACAACTGGACCTACCAAGGGTCGTATAGTGCTTTCTTTAACGTCTGGGGAAGGCGTGCAAGGCGATATAATTCAGACCGCCAAGAGTACAGTGAAAGATTTGCCAGGCAACATAGATCTCAGAGTCGCAGTTCATGGTCATGGCATGTTCCTCCAAACTTTTGCGCCACAAATCCTCAGCCAGCAGAGGCACGGCGATGGTTCAGACAAGCCGAAGCTGACTTCGCCGCTGCCGATAACGACATTGCTACTACAAAACCTTCGCACGTGTGGGCTTGCTTCAAATGCCACCAAGTAAGAAATCTGTCTATTAGATTGTCATTGACAAGATGAAAATATAAACTCTTTGGACCTGGATTTAGCATTCAAATATTTGTTTTAATAGTTAATGTCGTTTGAAAGTGGAAAAAGTGGGATAAGCTGTTTTGAGGGCAGCATCGAGGACCATGTGCCATTTTCTTTCTGTAAGCAATGTGCTAAGGGTAGGTTCTAACTTTTACCATTGAGCACACTGAAAATCCTTCATACAGGTCCTCTCAGTTTTAGCAAATGGTGAGGATCTAATGTAAGTTGTGATTTAGTGATAAAAAGAACTCAAAATTCCCTCATGTTCTTGATAATAAGCGGTTCGGTTGGGCATTAATAAGACATAGGAAGGCTTACTCGTCATAATAGCGGACTACTGGTCAGCTGGTCACCGATAAATTTTTCTAATTTTTGTCATACTTTTAATCCAATGCTGGCACGATATGCGTCGCATAATTCAGTCTATAACCATACCCGCGTTTTCCTAGCTTGATGACGAGGGTGATCATAAGTCTGAAGCAATAACTTATTGTAGGAGGTGAAATTGTAAGAATTTGAAATGAGTCAATTATTTGTTACAAAATAATTGACTCGTTTCAAATCCAAAGGAAGGCAATTCATAGTTTGAGGTTTCTTCAGATTTTCCTGATTTTTTTTTTTTTTTATTCTTTAGCATCGACTGCTCTTTTGAAATGGTGTCGGAAATACGATAGGATAGTTATTGTTATGTATCTAAAATATATCAATGCAGGAGCTGTTTGTTTTTCAGGCTGCAGAAAAAGCATTGAAGGCTGCCCAGTATTCTGTAGGTTCTAGCAAAACCAATGTTCATAATCTGGAGCAAAATTCTCGCGCGCTGAGAGATTCTAATCTGACTTCGATGTCCAGGGAGCTTGAGTCTCTCCTGGGTGACTCAACACGCATGCGCTACCCAGATCAAGTTTGCTGTCCTCGTATACCAAGCGACGTTTACACTAACGAAAAGGCCCGTGAAGCATTTCAGTTAGCCAGCAGGATACTTGATAACGTGAGGGGCAAAGTCCAATAAGGTGCGTGTATTGATGTGGCAAGGTGTATTTTTCAATGTAATTTCAGCTGTTAGAGCGAAAAAAAATTCAGTATGTCTAGGTCTAGGTGTATATTACATTAAACAGACTGAACTCGGGAGTAACTTTTGATATTGTAGTCAGTTTGTCCGGGTGAGAGTAGTATTCAGAGGGACTGTTATCGTTAGTAATGACCGACGTCTCGACAACGGAAGTCCTCATCGGTGGAGTGAGGAGTTGTTGTCAGTGAGTTTTTTAACGCTGGTTCGTGTAAACTGGATTGTTTTGTATACAATGATTTTGTTGGCTACGAGACCCAGGTACCATAAGCGAGTCAATCAGTCGGCAATGGTAGGTCGTTATAACATAACCGATAATAAGTACGTCAGAGGATAAGATCATATGTTTAAATTATTGCTCAGAGGGTAACGACGTTTGACTGATATTCAATCGTAAAAAATATATATATCAAAATCTAGTAAAGTTGGTAGACACCTTTGACTTTGTATTTGTATTTCTTCGCAGGAGGATCTACTCTTTCCATCCAGTTACAAAGATGTTATGCAAGAAGAGTGCCAAGAGTGTGCTTAGATGCCAAAACTCAGAGTAAAGCAATATAGATTAGTCATACTTGCGTTATAATAGCTTTTATGTTCTATCGATTGGCTACAAAATTAGGCAGACAGGATAAACAGCTCGCTTAAATAAGCAAGGAAACGAGCTACAAAGATATTATAATAACTGGACACGTATATTTCACAGTAATTTCAGCGTTGAGTTTAGATTTTTTCTGTACCTTATATCAATATCAAGTTAATGTTTAGTTTTTCAGTTGTTTGGTAATCTTGAAATTTAAGGTGCATGATTTCAATTTATGATCTGATTTGAAAACAAGCTAGTCTTTCCAGATCAGAAAACGGAGTTCTTCTTATGTATGGCTTCAGTTCAATTTTCACGTTATCGGGCTTCATTTTAGTCTTAGTGCAATGGGTCCCTAATTAGTGTTTAAATATAAAACAGTTTATTCTTTGATTCGAGTAGACTTTCTTACATTTTAAGCAAGACTCCAGTAGAAAATCAAGTGCAGTTATTCAAATTTCCTGGATCCAGGATCATTTATGAACGCCTTTAAACAGTGGAGTAGACTTAATAATATTTTAATACTTAAACGGTACATTTAAGTTAGAGTACTTACTCCTTGCAATTACAATTCGATAAAGGAGACACGTGAAAAACTGTAAAACTGTTAATAAGTTAGCTCAATGCATAGCGCTGGACTGATGTGCGGGAGGTCGAGGGTTCGAGCCCCGGCCGGACCAACACTCAAGGTCTTAAAATAATTGAGAAGAATATGCTGCCCTTCTATAACATCAAGAAGTGGTTTAGATATTCTAGTGTTCTCGAATAGGGACGAATAAATGAAGATCCCGTCTCCTGCAGGGTTAGGATTAGTAGACGTTAATTTATCACGCACGAGATTACTGTGTGATGGATGTCCCCCATTGGGGTGGGATAGGTGGGTTGTTTTCTTGCGTTTCATATATGAGCCTCTGGCTCGGGCAATATGGGTAACCATGCCCCACGTAAAGACATTAAACTTTTATTACTACTATTACTATAGCATTTCTTTCACGTTTTAGAGGGATTCTATTCTAGGGTGTACCATTTGGCGCAGTAAATGTATAGTTTTTTTTCTATCATTCGAGAAATCTGTTAGTTTCCCATTTCCAACACTATTTCATTTATTGGCCGGTCAAATTCGGTATATGAATGCTCCGACAGCAGATGATTCTCTTTAATTGAAACAAGGTGGGGAGAGAAGAATACTTTCGATTTTTCTCGGTAATCATCTATTTCATGTTCTTTGGATAGTGATTAAAAGCTGTGAGGTACCTAAATTTGCAGGCTTGCGACAGGTGTCTGTGCAAAAACATTTATCTGTTGACTGTATTAGAGCGAGTCCTGCAACTCATACGATTGCTGTGATCATGGAACGTATTGAAATGAAAATGGGCAACTTGATGCATTAGCAAAATCCAGTCACTGAGCGAAAAATTTCCACAACAATACTCAAAGTCACGCAGCGAATCAATCTCTCTACAATTTGTCCTCGCAACGGGATCGTAGTGCGACTTGCAGGAGTTGCCGCCGTTAGCAAATGTGATATTATTCTGCTAATTTACACTAGAACTGCGTCAGTGATTATAACTGATTTTCCGTGAAAGGCACTCTTCAAGACTGTTTGCTTGAGATAACTCGTTGTGCTTCGTTTTCAGAGCCGGGTATAAGTAACAACTGTCTTAATACTTAGTATCTTTTCCTTCTATCAAAGACCTTCCCAACCAGAAAACTATTATGCAAGATTACGTGCATGAATAAGTAGTAGAAAAAGAGAGAAAGAAAGGAAAGACAAGATGAACGGTTGTCCGTGTGGGATACTTGTTAGGTCGACGATTGTATTTTCAGTCGATTTACCAGAATGAAATGGCACATTTTCGGGATTTTGAGGGTAAGAAAACTCTGAGAGGGATTTAAAATAGGAAGATTGGCGGTTGCGATGTTGTTCTTTTACCCAAAAGTGATTAAGATGGGGTTTTCAATTGGCCGGAGAACAGACTATAATGGGGTAGGGGCTCTGAGAGGCTAGCAGCAC